ATAGATAGATAGATAGATAGATAGATAGATAGATAGATAGATAGATAGATAGATAGATAGATAGATAGATAGATAGATAGATAGATAGATACAAAAAGCTACATTCGCAACTATTAAATTATTACATGTGATTATAAGCGTTAATGCTTATAACCACAGGTGTGTGTTCATCGGGCGCGTTATAATGTCTTCGAATGTGTCAGCCAATCAGAAATGAGGATCTTTTTCACCGCTTTCATTAGACATAAGTTGATAAGATTATTGCCACATGTGATGGTTATTTCCACCTAAAGCCAACTTATAATAGGATGTTTTAACATAATATTATAATGTAGGTCATGCATGGGCTAATCCTATAAACCACTTTCTTTGTGTGTGATGACCCGCCAGCTTCAGCACAGACAAGTGAAACAGTGAGGGTGTTTTTTTCTTTTGTGAAGTTTACCACTAGGATCAGTTCACTGACACACCAGTCTACATGTAGGCAGGCAGCAGGATTTCACGGGGTTTTATGCGCCATCTGGTGGTCCAGTATCCTCTGATTTCCCACGCGGGTGTATGTGGACGCGTGCGCATTCAATCTAAATTGGCTGGGAGGTGATTAAAAGGGGGGTGGGGGGGTGGCAAACCTTAGATGAGGCATTGAGTGCTGACAAAGTTATTTGTAACGACTGGGATCTATTTATTTTTAACATTTTTGATATTTTTGATAAGTTTGGTCAAATAGCTCGTTTGATTCTATTGCGCATGGCCTATATCTGGCTCTGGTTGTTATTCAGTCAATGTAGCTGTTCATTCTTCCAGTTATTTAACCTAAAGTTAAATAGGTTAAATAGAAATGCAGAGGCACTAGCCGATCTTTGTCACCCAAAGTTGTTGGGGAGCTGGAACAGATGTTAAAGTATTAAGACAGGCAGTATAATTTGGTTTTAAGTAAAGCGAGTCAGTGTTGTGTCAGAAAACATTCTCAAAACTTAAAAGAAAAATTGAATCTTCTTGGCGTCAGATTTCACGACTGTTTTAGTTTCATAACATGACGAGTAATTTGGTTTTGCTGGAACACTGAGCACGTTCAAAATGATCTGAATCTGAAACCATGAGTATTTTCATGTCCATCTTTTATGTTTATTGTGTGTTTTAAATAATAGAAATGAAACATATAAACTGTCATTTTTTCTGTCTTCAGATTTATGTTTATCTAATTTATGTTTATCTGAAACTGACATTTTTGCAAAGCATTTGAATTTGTTTAATTTTTTTTTACTTCACTTCTAATAGACGTTTTTCTAATTTGATATCAGTTTATTTGAATGTTGTGAAAAATGTAATGTAATGGTGCACACCAGTTTGAATTTAGATAAAAGAAATTTGTGCATGTTTTCATACTAACTCATATGCATTTAAACATTTAAAAAAAAAAAATATATATATATAACCCATAAATGATGAAAGAGTCATCATGAAGCTCAACTTCTTGCCATTTTGTAATGTATTGTTCATTAAAGGCGCGGTCACAGAATGGAGTGTTTGAGATGATTATAAAAGTTTCAGGTGTGACTGATTATGCTTATGAAAACCAAAAGTGGGACATCGGAGAGGCTTTTGAACATGAAACATGTACGTTTATTAATCCTCATGGCTCCCTCTGTGAGACCACCCTCATTTTGTGCTTGCTGCTATACCCGTTGTTCACTTTCAGCGTGACTGCCCCCTGGTGGAAGACCACACATGAACTCAAGATTAGATCTAGACGCCCTGACTTGCTCTTTGTCTGTGAAAGGGAACAACAGACCGATTCATATCCCAGCTTATTATTTAATTATATTTTTTAATAGAAAGCAAAATATTTCTGTCTTTGTCCAAGATTATCTCAAATAAAAGATTTTTTACTCACTGCCTTCATTTGTTTCACTCAAACTTGCCACTTTGGATCGGAGAATTATTCCTCAATTTGGACAATCAAATTTCATATTTTTATCCTGAGCTGTTACCCTAGTGTAATTTTATTTACTACATGAAGGTGCATAGCTGTTAACATACACAAATAATAAAAGATCCCGATGAGTCACTGTTGAAAAAGTTATTTATTGTATTTGTGGCATTGTGTTTTGTTCCCTTTGAAAAGGAAAACAATCAGCACAAGTCAAGAGGTAGAAATCATCAGTCTGAAATTAATGTAAGGACTGACATTTACTTACACACACACACACACACTAACACACCAACACACACCACCAAACACACTAACACACACACACACAACACACAACACACACACACACACACACACACACACACATCATCATACACACACACACACACACTTTCCCATGGAAACAACCGATTTTTTTTTTTGCATTTGTTTTCATTTCATCCACCAGCAGTACCATCATCCGTGTAATACTGTCACTAACATTTGTATGTACTGATTTCATCTGACATCAAACAGACTCCATTCTGCGCACAACCCAGAAATAAATTACACACACACATCACGTTGCAGCACCCAAAGGGAGCAGGAACAATCTTGAAATGAACTTTTTGCTATTTTCACCTCATGACTTTAACGGCTGATTGGCTGATTACTGCATCATCCTTGAAAAGAGCCCCCTGTGACTACACAAAACAAACAACACATTAGGTGTGAGAGATGCATGTTGGCTTATATTTGTGCAGAGCCTGATGACTCTGTGATCTAATCTGCTCACACAGGGGGAGGGACAAAAACAGATCAGCACAAAAAAAAAGGGGGGGGGGGAAGGTAGCAGTGCTATAAACAATGTGTCAACATCTGGTATTAACGGTATTCTGGTATTAACGGTATTCTAAATATGGTTTGACCAAAGGATTAAAAAAAGAAAAAAAGAAACCCCACACACTTTAAAAGGTAGATGCAGGTTATTTGACCCAAGAGATGTTGAGACAGCGAGCGATGAAGGCGTAAGTGTCAGCCACCTCCTGAATGACTTTGCTGGTGGGCTTTCCAGCACCGTGGCCTGACTTTGTGTCCACAAGGATGAAAAGGGGATTTGTCTGCTTGGGGCTGCGACCTACAATGTGCTGCAGAGTGGCGATGTACTTGAGGGAATGCAGAGGCACTACCCGGTCATCGTGGTCGCCTGTCAGCAAAAGCACAGCGGGGTACTGGACCCCATTGCCTTCTGGTACACGGATGTTATGAAGCGGGGAGTATCTGCGAGAGAGGACCAGTGGGATCTTTGTTAGGACTGCAACCGTTTAAATATTAAGTAAACAGCAGAATCCCTCTATAAAAATGTCAGAGCAATGATAATGTTGGAGTACAAAATGTATTTTGTTTAACCTTAAAATATTCACACTGCTATCCTACATCACAAACGAAACAATCGGGTAATTTTGTTTGTTCTGAATTTCTTTGTGAGCTTCAGTTCTCAAATCAAGACTCAAGGATAACTCCTGGAATTACATATTTCATTAAAATACAGTACTGTGCCAGAGTCTTGAGCCAATTCTTATTTCTTTATATTTTGCAAAGAAAATTACTGCAGATTTTCAGTTATTTATTAAAATGGGCAAACAAACACAAGGGAATACAGTATACAAGCTAAAAGCTAAGACTGTACAATTCTAATAAGCATGAAAGTCGATATTTGGTATGACCACCTTTATTCCTCAACACAGCCTGAACTCTCTTAGGAAAGATTTCTTGTCATGTTTTGGTAGTCCTCGGGATTCTTCAAAGATCTTCTTTGGATGTTGGGTACCCTTTGATCTGTTCTCTGTCAGGATGATCTCACACTGTCTGGGTTCTGGGGAGACCCATCCATGACTGACAGTGTTTCATGGTGTATTTTTATTTTTCTATTTGTGTATGCTTTTACTGCATTAACTGTGTGTTGAGGATCATTGTAATGCTAAAAAAATGAAGCTGCTGTCAATCACATGCTTTCCAAACTGTATTGCCTGGTGGATTAAAATCTGAGAGTGTTTTCCAAATTCATAATTCCTTAAAATTTGACAAGATCACCAACACCACTGGCTGAGATGTAGCTCAAAACCACTACATCTCAGCCTCTGTATATATTCATCACACCATAAAGACCTGTTACCACTGATCTTCAATCCAGTCTTTGTGTAATTTGGCATAACTCAGCCTCCTCCCTGTTTCTCTTCCTTAGCAATGGCTTCTTGACAACTGGACTTTTTAAATCCCCATTCCTTAAGGAAATGACCTTCAGACACTTTATCTGCTGCAGACAGGGTTTTAGGCCTGGAACTTTTTCTTTTGTCCTCCACTTGTCCAGTTTCCTCAATTCTTTAAAGGACATGTTGCACACCATGCTGAAATATGCCAGGCTTTCAGCTAATAGCTACTTGGGACTGGGAACACATTTTTTTATGTCCATGTAGCCAATGTAATCAGTGAAGCTCAGATTAAAATGTATAAAGAAAGGCAGCTGATGTAAATGCAGCCTACAGTATATAATACACATTAAAATCTACACTGTGGTCAGAGAGCACCTACTTGATCAGCCATTCAAACTGCTCTTTGTCTTCTGAACAGCCAAAATCTGTGGTCCAGGCGTGCCCGATTGTGAACTTGTGGAACTTCAGCATGTCCATGACGCCCACCTGAGCTACTGCACATCCAAACAGCTCAGGCCGCTCGTTTACACAGGCCGCTGAGACAGGACACCAAGGATTCAGAAACATCATCATCTATATCCATTTGCTGCGATTATATTGTTTTAGTGTATCTTGTTCTTTAGTGGAAGCATACATACCTACAAGCAGGCCACCATTGGAGCCTCCATTTATAGTCAGTTTGGAGGGAGAAGTGTATCCCTCCTTGATTAGATATTCAGCTGCACACTGGAAGTCTGTGAAGCAGTTCTGTTTATTTGCCAGCATGCCAGCTGGAAAAAAAAGAATACAAAGTATGTAAATGAGGACTTTGCGCTGGTAATATTTAAAAGATTCCCTCCAGGCACGTTTGAAAAGATCTAAAATTATTCTGCTTTGAATAATAATGTGTGTCTGATATGTTTTTTTATGCTTGTCAGGTTAGAAATTCTTAAAAACAACATTTATGCCTCCTCAGCCACAGAAAACTCCAGAATCTCTCAACATGCAAATATATTCATTTCAAACTTTTAACTAAAGATGTCATTATTGAAAGACAAGACACAATCTACTGTATGTGCTACAAACACACACAAACACAGGCATTTTCTAACAGGGCAAACTGGACATGCCCTTGCGATTGAGCTCTGTAGTCATGTTTATAATTACGTGTCAAAAGCTCCTCACCTTTGTGCCAGGTCTCCCCATATTCTCCTCCTCCTCTGATGTTGGCGACAGCTAAAACTCCTCCCAGATGTCTGACAAAGATGAGTCTGGACACGCTGTAGCTTGGCGTGATGGAGATGTTAAAGCCCCCGTAGCCATATAAAAAACCTGGATGGGAGCCGTCCATTTTGATGCCCTTCTTGTGAACAATGAACATGGGTATCTGAGTGCCATCCTTTGAGGGAAAAAAGATCTGAGACAACAAGAGAGAGAGAAAAAAAAAAAGATTGTCAGGGAAACAAAAGGAGATGGGAAGTGAATTACGAAAAGGTAAAGAACAGTAAAGCTTACATCACCAGTCTATCCTTGTTTCTGAGTCAGAAGACAAGAGAAGACAGGAGCTCTTTTAAAATCCTGTCTGCATCGTGAACATTTTACACTTACAGAGCTATTTTCGAGGCCGCTGTTTTCAGCAGAAGTATATAAATATATCTAACTCTGGGACACTATATGTACAGAGGAAGTAAAAAGAATTTGAAACATGGTCTGGCCAAGGCTAGACTATCTAAAGGACAATTTACTGCAAGTTTCTCAGGAATCTGAACCACTTAAATATAAAATCAGCTATGTCAGGTCATCCATTCCTGGCCCATAATCATTTCCCAGGGACACTGACAACATCTATCATAACATAAAAGCTTCAAATCTTATGACTAATTGCAAAATTTCTTTCTCTTTCATTTCTCTCCACAGGTGACCAGCTTCCAACTCCATCTGGCAATCAATCTTTTTTTTTTTATAAATCAGAATTAATGGCTGTTACTTTGGCTACATTTAAAGAGAAAGGGCTCATGTCTCCTATGACGGCCGAGCAATCCTTCCCGTTATACTTCAGTCAGAAAAAGTTGCTTATTTGCCACAACAAGGTGAACTGACATGTGACAGTTACTACTGTGAACACACCCATACTGACTTGGTTTATAGCCTCATGTTTAGAAACATACAACATCTAAAAATCACAAAATTAAACTAAGAAACAAATATCTGATGATTTGACTATTAGGGTACAGTTCTAGTTAAAAAAACTACTTTGAAAGCTCAGTTTGAGTGCTGCTTACGTTAATAAATGCTACCTATACCTGATTTAGCCCACCTTTTCTACAACAACCCTAAGCTGATAGTTTGCCCTCAGTTTGCCGTTTTCGAGCCAGACAATTGATAAAACCTTTCATTTTGTTTGTCAGGGTACAAACTGGCCTGTACACCACCGTTTTATGTCTGTCATTTTGGATAAATGCTGGGTCAGTACTTTAAAAACTAGGTTAAAGTTGGGCATTTATGCATAATTAACTGTTGAGATATCTTTTAATAAATGTGTTTACCACAGCCTATTTTTAAAGAGAAATGAAACACACCTATTTAAACACTGGTAATCCCAGTCTAGGCTCTAGTTACCTGTGTGGTCTGGTAGTCGGAGGGGTTGAAGCCTTTGACAGTGACCTCTCTGAAGATATGGGGCTGCAGGGGCTCCTTGGTTAGGTCACAGTGGTAAATGATGGCTAGATGAAAAGAAAGTAAAAGTTTCATTTTCTTTACTATTTTGAAATCACTTCACAATCAGTGAATTCTTAAAGACAGTACAAATTTACTTAATGAAATAATACGTGGAACTTAGAAATGAGAACAAAATTGCATTACTTGTTTCTTATTTATACAAACTTAACATAAAGGTTGACTTATTTCACTTAAACAACAATATTTGCACAGGTAGAAATTGCGAGACAAGGCATCTGATAAACAAAATAGCTTTTTTTGATTAAAAATAACTTTTGCATTATATTACCTGGCGATAGGAAAGAAGTGAAATAATAGAAGATTTCAGAGTCTCGCTTTCGTCCTGTGAACCCTACTATGGATCCAACATCAAGAGGGAAGGTCCTCAGCTCCTCTCCTGAGCTCAGACGATACATTTTCAACACATTCTTCACATCATGGAGGAAGCACACGAACAAATAGCTGGAGTATGTACAGGTGGCAAACACTGCAAGGAAGACATGGCAAAAGAATGAATGACATTGAAATGTACTATTTAATGACAGGGCTAAACTGCTAACGCTTCATATTTTATAGGGAAAAGGTCATGCATGTGTTGCAGAACCTCACCAATGACATCCTTTTCATGTTGAGGCAGGAGCTCCTTCCAGCTGCTCTGCTCCGGAGAGGCAAAGTCGATGTTGATTAGTCTGTAACGAGGGGCGTCTAAGTTGGTCTTGAAGGTGAACAATGTGCCCTCGTTCGTCACGTATTCGTACTCGGCGTCAAAGTTGTCGATTAATTTTACCCATGGCAAAAGTCCTGAGCAAACAAGGATTTCAGTTCTAAAATCAAACTGTTAAGCGAGTAAGACTACAAGAAGAACAATATTTGTTTGTCTTAAAGTAGCAAAATACTTTGAGAAATAAAGAGAAACAAGTACAGAATACCTGTAATACCCTGAGGAGTGGTCTTGAGGTCACAATACCACAGTCTGTTGACAGGATCACAACCTTCTCTGATAGACAGCAGCACGTAGCACCCATCTTCTGATACCTACAGTACATCTGCAATCATTAAACTGCACCTGAATGCCAACTAAAACATGCATTCTGTCCAAGTTTGATGACATGACAGTAGAGGGGGGAAAAAAAACAACTTCACACATACTTCTGCTCCACTCATCCATTTGGGGTGATCAGGAAACTCTGCACATAGGACGTCCTCAGACTGTGGAGTCCCCAGAACATGATAGTATAACTTCTGATGCAGGTTAGTGGAGGTCTCAGTGCCTGAAAGCAAAAAACAAAATCGAATACAAAAAGACGAAGAGTGTTACGAGTGGGTGCAAAATTTATAATACTAGATAACAAAAGGTTTCAAAACAATAAACAGAAAATAACAAATATTGACAAATGACAAACATTTCGCCTTATGACATTAAATACATTGTCCATTTACAGTGGCTCAAAAGTAATTGGACATACAAACGTAACTTTACATGGATGAAAACCATTTACAATCTTTGACTGTCTAAAACCGGCAAACATCACCAAATGCTGTGGTTCACCTCCCTGGAGATGCTCTGCTAGGCCTTCATTTGGTGCTTGTTTGTGAGTCTTTCTGCATTTGTGCACTTTGCTCTATTGGAATGACAACAGCTTACTGACTTGACCACTGAAGAACATCCAATTTCTTTGCCTTGAGTAACTCTTTGGTTGCTTTTGCAGTATGCTTTGGGATAATATTCATTTGCACTGTTTAAGCACTGTCCTATGAGTTTTGTAACATTTGGCTGAAACTGAGCGAGTATAAACCTGTACACTTCACAACTCATACTGCTATTTCTTTCAACACTTACATCATTAATAAAGACCAGTGATCCATTTCCACTGACATTATAAGTCATGTCTGACTGGTAACGTGGCACGCTTCTCCATACTTTTCTCTTGTCATCATCTGGTAAAAAGTTCAAATTTGTTTGTTTTTTATTTCCTTCCCAGAACAATGCAGATTCTTTTAGATGATTTCTGGTAACATCTAATCTGGTCTTCCTGTTCTTGACTGTAATGAGCAGTTTTCACTTTACAGCAAAGTGCAAACTGCTGCATTTCCTGCTGTACCTTGACAATTTGTCGTGTTCTTGTCGTGTTAGTGTAAACTAACTTTTCTAAACCATGAAAATAATTTTGTCATCATCCAACTTTGTTGTCTAAAGCTCCCGGATCTCTTTATTTTTGGTTTTTAGTTTTTTAGTCTAATGATGACAGTGAAAAGCTGTTACAAATGTTACAAAAAAAATCAGCACTTTGACTCATTTGTCATGAAATAACAATGGAACAGGCCTCACCTGGCCATTGAAATGCTTGTCAGTCGGTTAGCAATTTCAGTCTATGAAAACGGAGATCTGTGTATGAAAATGTCTGTAATTCCTGTTTTTTTTTATTCTTAATTCAAGGTTGTTGTTGTTGTTTTTAAATTATAATAATACATTAATGCTGTCTTTGATCAAGTTTTATTTTCCACTCACGTTTGAGCAGACATTGCTGCTGCATGCAGTTTAACAGTCTATGTAGACTGCATTTGGAGATATATACATTTGAAACCGCTAGCAATTATCTAATGACAATTTAGCTTTTCATTAGCTTTTTTAAATGGTAACTGGCCAGTGCACAGAAAAGCGAGTCCTTAAGCAGATATCCATTAATCCATTTTCTTCTGTCCTGGCAGAGAGCCCTGTCCCATGAGGCTAGGTAGGCAGACTGAGTTCCAAGAATGTCAATTATCTTATAAGTATTTCATATTTTGAAGGTAATTTACTGCAGCCAAATGAAGGTTTAGTATTTGAGAATGTTTGAATCCTGTCCAACACAGTCTTACCATCACTTTTGCCCTCCTGGTCAGGATACGAGTTGTAAAAAAGCCCCTTCCCATCGTGGGTCCAGGACATGCAGCTAAACTTGACTCGCTCCAGGCGGTCCTCTAAAGGCACGGCGCCCTCAACGCGCAGAAAGCGGATCTCCACCCAGTCAGACCCACTGGCACTAGTGCCATATGCCAAGTACTCTCCATCCTCAGAGAATGCATAGCCTTGAAGAAATCAGAGAAACATAAATAGAATGTTAACAAGGAAACTTAACAAAATTTAGACATCAGAGAGGACACTATATTTGTAGAGATTTTTATTCAAAACTGAGTAAAAACTACCACATGAAGCAACTATTACTTGAAAGGCAATTTTGAACTAAATGTATTACTAAAATTAAAAAGAGCACACGATCCAGAAATGCAGGCAACATATTTTTTCATATCAGTAAAATGGGTACTTTGCTTTTATAATAGCCACGGCTGATACCTCGCAGAGCAACTGTCCCATCCTCAGAAAATGTGTTTGGATCTAAGAAGACTGTGGGCTCGGCATCTAGGTTCTCTTGCACATACATCACACTCTGGTTCTGGAGGCCCGTGTTGTAAAAGTGAAAGTACCTAAAAAACAAAGAGAAAAGCTACTGGAATGTCACATAATCACTCTGTCATCTAACACTAAAGCTGAAATCCAACATCAAAAATATTATTATGGAATCAGTTGCAGCAAGCTTTACCTGCTTCCTCTCTTGAAGGGACAGCTATACTTGGGATAGTCATACAGCTCAGTCATGCGCTCTTTGAACAGCTCTCGCACCTCACAGTGCTCTAAAAATGGCAAAGTGAGCTTGTTCTGGGCACTGACAAAGGCCTAATGGAAGAAAGCATAATACAACCATGCTTTACATTTTACCATTATCATTTCAACAGACTGCTCAAAAGAGCAAATAATTATTTAGCAGATATCTTTGCTGTGGAAAAAGTATCCACCTCTTCCTGAGTTCTTTTTTTGGCATATTTGTCATGATTAAATGTTTTAGATCAAACGTTAATATCAACGATAACCTGAATAAATACAAAATACAGTTTTTAAATAAAGATCTTATTTTTTCCCAAGGGAAAAAAGCTATCCAAACCTCCAAACAAGCTAGGTTTTGTAGATCATACTAATTAGAGAAGATAATTTTGTTAAACATTTGCATATTTTTCATTTCTCATGTCTCATGATCTATTGAACTGAAGGAGTCTGTTAATTTAGGTTAAGTTTAAAATATACCAAGAGACACTAAAAACATACAGACCCAACAACTACTGATTCTTTGTGCATGAAAATAGAACAAAACAACTACGAGTAATGAGTAAGGGATTAGAAAGTAGTCTTGCAAGGCCAAGTTGCCATATCCGCCTGACCCTAACCCCCCCCCC